TAATATTTTATTTAAAGGAGTTGATATAATAAGAAGAAATTCAACAAAGATATATCGAATTTTTATGAAAAAGTTATTATACACTTTATTTGATCTTGATAAATATATAGAATATATTTATAATTTAAAATTCACAAATATCGAACAATATTATTCGTTTATTAATGGACAAGATAAAGAAAATATTTGAATGAAACACGTGTTTGAAAATATAACAGAAGAATTTATCAGATACTTGTATTATAAAAAAGTAGAATTAGATATGGAATTATTTGAAATGACAGGAAGAAATAATATTGAAAATGATGATGAAGAAATTTCAATAATTGAAATAACACAAACTAATTCTTTCAAAAAAAATAATTAGAAATATGAAAATGGAAAGATTATATTACAGTATAAAATATGTAATTTGACAGAATTTTTTTGATATTTTCTTTTGCTAACAAATAAGCGGATTCTAATTGGTCATCTTTGTAAAGATCTATAACTTTTTTTACAATATCTTCAAAGTTTTTTTCAGATGACATTATATTTTGTTTTAATATCTACATGTATATTTTGTATTTAAATATTTTTATAATTAATAATGATGTTCTAATAAATTAATAAACAAATCAAAATAAAACCTTAAACATTGAATCTTTCACAATGTAAAAATGTCCAGCCTCAATCAAATCGATCCAAATGATTTTTCTGATAAAGAATTAATTTATAAAAATATCAATATGGAGATTGTTAAAACGAAATGGACATCGTTAGATTTAGATGTGGTTATTAAAAAATTTTTAAAAAATAATAACGAATTTCAAAATGAATTTAATATTATCTCAAAATTAAAGATCCAACATCCAAACATCATTACCTTTTATGGATGTTGTTTTTACAACCCTCTTAATTTAGTTTTTGAATATACAGATTAGGGAAATCTAAGAGAATATCTAAAAGATAAATTTGATTCGATAATATGGAATGATAAGCTTAAACTTTGTAAAGACATTACTCGTGGTCTATATTTTTTACATAATTACAGTATAATTCATAAAGATATATGGTCCAAGAATATTTTAATTTCACAATATACTGCCAAGCTTTCCGATTTTGGATTTAGCAAGTTTGAGAATGAAAAAACTAGATCAATTGATGGTCTGAGAAAATTTTCGTATATCGATCCTCAATACGTCATCAACCCCAAGTACAAATTATTAAAAAAATCAAATATTTATTCATTGGGTGTTGTCTTTTGGGAAATTTCAAGTGGTGAAATACCATTTAAAAATTTTAGCACTGAAGATGCAATCGCAATACGTATTTTTAATGGAGAAAGAGAAACTCCAGTTAAGGACACGCCAAAGTGGTATACGGATATTTACGTTAGATGTTGGGATCAATTACCAGAGAATAGACCAAATATTAAGGAAGTTTTTGATATTATTAAGAATTATTAATTAGTTCTTTTATAAATTTTACATATGTATTAATAATTATTTTTAAATAAACAACTCCGTAAACTCCGATAGACGAATATAAAAGTTTTAATTTTTTTATCATGATTCAAATTGAATAATCATCATGTTATTCTTAAGAGACTTACCAACTGAGATTTTTTTTATTATTGTAAGAAACATCAGATGTCCATTAAATCTTTTATTAGTTTGCCATTTCTTTTATGATATCATAACCGACTCAGTATGAAAGCTACATGGTTACTTTACAATTTTGGTAAAGCACAAGCCCTTTTTCACGCTGTTAGATTAGGTCCTTATTTTTTAACTCTTGAAGTAGCACAATGTATACTAAGTCAAGGAGCAAACCTATCTCGTTATTTCATGCAAAGACTCATATTGGCTTTTGGTGAATACGATATACATTTGATAGAATTAAAAATATCACATAATCTAAATTCGACAATTGATAGAAATATTATTAAAAAATTGAAAAACCATGGGCTAGCACTCTAAAAATGGAAGTTTTTAACTTCTTTTTACTAGAAGCTGAAAAAATTTACAAGGATGAATTATTTTTGAAATCAAATAATATAGAAATTTTTATTTTTTATCTTGTGGTCTATTTATAATCGAAAATGCTAGAAAACAAATTATAAAGAATCTAAAAGAAATACAAGAATTAATTTTGGATAAAAAATTTGTACTGTTTCTTCAAGGCCTTGTAAACTTTTACTATAGACAAATACCCATCACGAGATAGTTATGAAAACATACGTCAATTAAATGTTATTACCTATGCTATTATATTATATAATGATCTTGTAAATTTATAGAAATCAATTGGTTATAATGTAGTTGAAGATGTGAATAGTTTATTGCTTCAAGGAGTGATGATAATGTTATTTCCACCTCAAGGATTAAGACCCGAACCATCGATTCAAGAAATAACAAAAGATTTAAAATCGTACATAAATCTTGGATTTCAATTGGATGAAAAAGTAATTATTGAAATTTTGAAATTGTTTCACCAAAGATTAAATGATGTTGGGAAAAAGATAGTAGAATCTATATGTGATATTAAACAAGAAAACAATGTTGAATTTTTAAGAAAATATTACGTAAAAACATTCAATCCTGACTCATATCCTTCAATTGAAGAAATTATGAATATTTAAAAATTTATTGGAGAATCATTTTTGAAAAATCATATTGAAGAATTTAGTCAAGCATATGCGACAGCGATAATCCAATATAATCTAAGATTACTATAAATATGTTACAAAATTAATTTATAAGACTTATATAAGATTATTAAAATATATACTTAAGATTTAATTTTATTATTAATAAATTCCATGTTTTTAAAAATATAAATATCCAATAATTTTATTAAAATTTTTTTAAAAATAGATAACAAAATAAAGAAAGTTTTAATTTCTCTAATATATCGTAATTTGTTTAAATATTACTTCTTTTATACACCATATAATGAAAAAACCAAAATGATAACAATTAATTGTGGTGAAAATACCAAAAAACAAATTTTATCCCAAGACAAAAAACATCTTTTGAATAATATTTTAAAAGAAACAGTTAGCAACTTTAAGAAAGAATTTGAAGAAAGTGAAGAAATTATCAAAGAAAATGAACATCTTTTAAATGAAATTAGAAATGGTATTTTCAAAACAGAATACAAAAATGATTTCTATGAAAAATTAGACGAGATATTTAATTCCAATGTAATTAATTAATCTGTTATAAATTACTTAAATGAATCATTAATTCTAGTTTTTAACTTATCATCATATGTTTTGGCTTCATCAAACATGATTTTAATTATATTTTTTTTAATAAATTCGATAATTTTTCATATAGACTGTTTTGTATACTGTTATTTTTTTTATTAAAGTTTTTAAACTTATCATTATTTCATAAAGAACAGATATTCTTGTTACTGGTAAAAATATTTAACGGTTTGTCAAAAATACTAAAAATTTTAATTGCTTTGATCAAAGCATAAATCTGTGATTCTTGAATAGAATAATCTTCATTTACAACTTTGAAAATACTTTTATCTGGATATAAAGGACAATAAATTCCTATTCCAAGTATTTCGTCTTTTTTTTTAATTTTTGTAAATATGCAAATATTTTCATCATTTGTCAAATCATCTAAATAAAGAAATGAGGCATCACATTTTATGTGCCAGTTCCCATATGTAAGAGTTAATACTTATCATTAGCAATAATAAATATTGAATAATAAAATCACTCTTACCACAAATCACGAGATTCTTTCATGAAAAACATTTTTTTCCTTCCTTCAGTTTAATATTGGTGGTACCGGTAAGGATTTCTGTTAAAGCAACACCATTCTTATTTACTACAATATCATTTGTTAGATACCATTTGTGTTTTTTGATCAAATTTAAATCATCTTCATCAACGGTAATATAATTATTCGTCGGTTTATCATGTTTATCAAATAATGCGATTTGATATAGATGGGTGATACAACCAAAATGACTACTACTTATAGGTCTTCTAGGATTCGTGTTGGAATCGTTATACCAGACTCCATTCATTTTATCCTTATATTTTTAAATGAAATTAAACTTGTTATAAATATCTTTTAAATTATTAATTGATAACAAATAATTAAATATATTCGTTAACTAGACCAACAAATACAAAAATTGGGAAAAACGTCAATACAAAGCATGGGAGTGATAGCGACCAAATGCTGCATATACGATGGCGTTTCCTAATTTTTAAAGCAGTCCACTGCTAAAGAAATAGGCGGAACATAAAAGTGTTCGGTTTCCCATTTTAAACAGCGTTTAATACAACGTATTAAACATCGTTTAAATCTAAAATAACAAAATTTCATAATAATACACAAAATTCTATAATATTTTTTCATTATATCTTTTTTATAAGAAACAAGGAATTGAAGTTTTGGTATTTGACGATGTGAAAAAACATATATGTAAAGATCATGATTTTATCGCAGTTTTATCAGGATTATCAATTCAACTTTACGGGATGAATAAAAAATCCTGTGAAATAATAAATAGACAATATAGAATTAATATAAAAAGAAAAAGTTTTGCACCGTTTATTTTATTTGGATCTAATTCTATTTCTTTTACAACATTATCTGATTCGTATTTTAAATTACGTAAAAAAATATTATTATCTTCGATTAAATAATAATATTGAAAGATTATATCAAATTTCTTATCAAGAAGTTACTAGTTTAATTAAAAAATACAAATTAAATTTAAATTTAAATATACTGGAATTATTAAATGAATATGTTGAGAATATTACTAGTGAATTCATGTGGGGTTATAGTATTATATAAAAATATCATATTGATTTTTTAGATAAAGATTATAAATCAAAAAGCTTATCTGTTATACGGGCTTTAAACCAGGCATTTCATGATGTTTATACATATAAAAATAGTAATTTATTATATATACCAATAACAAAAGAATCACGACAAATTTTAAATAATATCACACAAATACGTAAGAGTTTTAAAGAAATGACACGAAATTTGATTGATAATTTCTGTGGAAAAAATTTAATTAAAGATATAGTTGATAAGAATGTTCAATTGGGTATACTATTAGAAAAATTATATAATGATCTCATTATAACAACATCATCAGGATTAAATATAGTTAAATTAATGATTATATCAATTATTTGGCATTTATATGAAGAGAAGAATAGAAAATGGTGTAACATACTTTATGATGAAGTTAAAATTTTAAATGAAGATGGCTTTAATTATACAAAATTAGCAAGTCTTTCAAATTTTAATGCGTTTATATCTGAGGTAATACAGTATGAATCATCGTTTTCATTTTTAAATAATTACACAATTAAAGATTTTGAAATGGTTATTGGTGAAAAAGTTTACA